TATTGATTTGTGCCCCGTATTGGAGACAACATGGTACTTAAATTGTCTTCATCTAACACATTTATTTTTTCTAATATTTCAGTAAGAGTTTGACCAACGTTGCCATTGATGTTCTAATAAATTATATATGCCAGTTTTTAAGGCCTTGTTAATTTTTAATTCATAATAGTGCAAACAATATGAAAGATTTCTACGAAATTGGGAATTTTTGTTTAAAATTCTTGATTTTATGTATTCACTAAATGATAAAGTCTGTGCTGGATAGCTTTGTCTGGGATGATGCTCTCCATATTGTCAAGTTGGAAATAAATTAGGAAAGCATAACAAATCAAGATGCTCTTGCCTATTGTCTATAGGCGCTTCTTTTACATTCATTAATTTAAATTGACTGATATCAGAACCTGTTGCAATTTTAATATCAAGATTTCTAATCGTATATGCCGAATGGCCTTCTAAATCTTGATCATTTGCTTTTGCAAGCATTTTACAAGTAGTATTGCTCACTACTTGTATAACATTTTTAGACGATTCGTCAATTGAATCATCATCTATGTTTCTATAAAGCCAATTTATTTCTTTTAATTTTGTTAGTGCTGCTTTTATTTTATTCACATCAACTAGGCTACGCCAGACATTATTTGATTTAGTAGGCTGTCCATTAATAATAATATAAAGTTCTGGATTAGGCAAGTGATTAGAATCTATACCAACCTCATTTAAAGTGTCCATTGTTTTTTCTAATGGAAGCGGTAAATAAAACATTGCACCTTTAAGAGCCTTCAAAAAATTATAGGTAGGCACTTTTAAGGTGTGTGTGCCTAGTCTAACAATTGTCTGAAAACACTGGGCCCTCTGTATTAACTGGCACCTTAAAGGATCCAAATTTTCCAATTCTTTGGGTAGTGGCTCACACTTTAACCCATTGAGCATACAACGTGCTGGAACTTCATTTTTCCTAATAATTGGTTTACAATGATTACCAATATACATAACTTTATTTAATGCTGTAGGATCATTCTCTCTAATGTAATGTAATGGGATATTCCAAACATCGCTATCTAAATTTTTAGCTTCAGTGACAGACTTTTTTCTTAAAAGCCTCTCACAGCTACAACAAACATTAAAAGCCTGATCAGACAAAGCTTTCTTAAATTCATCAATAGCATCTGAATACTGAAAATAAAGTACAGTATCTAAGTTTTGTATTCTAAATGGGTCATCATCTTTGCTATCATTGATAGCGTAATGCACATTATCAAATTCAGTCTCCTCTGGCTGCACAACTATCGTGTTGCTAGTTGCTTGAGTGATAAGTGGATCTTCATCATAATACACCTCTTCCTGCTGCTCCAGCTGCTGTGAAAGGTTCTGCTGTGATGTGAAGTGCAGCTGCTCCGGGGTTCTTAAGAAGAGCGCATCACATTCATCTTCACCATCATCACTTTCACAGTCCCAATATCCTATGGGATAATAATAGTTGCTTTATTTATTTTTTTGTTATCAGTTCTTAATATCTGTGTATAACCCTTTTTCTTATACAATGAAATTCATAAAAATTAGTCTTTTGGAAAACGTTTCGAATTATTTATGTTGTCATGAAACCACTTAAATCAGGTGCACTTTTGGACGCCACACCTCTTGACCATGCCCAATCAGCCATTTTGATCGTTTTTCATAGAGTATATTTGTGCCTTTCAAGAGCTCTGAGTAGACCTGCTAATTCTATTCCATTTACTTATAAGTGCTCCAAAGCACCTAAACTGCTTGCACCAACATAGATTTTAGCTGCTGCATTTACTACAACCAGTTTTATTGCTTTTACACACTCCATTAGTGTTAGATGTTATGTCATCAATGACTCAACCAATATCATCATGAATAGTCAACTTTTTGCAAAACAATAAGTGTTGAATAGCAATTACATCGAAGTGCCGACAAAGCATTCTTTTACTTTTCTATTCTTTCCTATGGTTTCAATTTGACCACTAACATTATTCAATACCAATTTCTGCCTGGAAGGTGAGATTTCCTATAAAAAGTACGTGTTTGCCCTAAAAAGAGGTGTGGTAATTGCTTTTTTATTAATTGCTATTACCTTGTTGTAGTTCTACAACAAATTGTCAGGCAGAGTTAATTGGAGATTTGTCCTTTCCAAATGACTCCAACCACTACCAATGCCCTATTAAGTCAAATAGATGCAAAGATACATGAATTTCATTTACCTGCTAGCTCCTAAACTATTGCTAAATACTCTCCAAAGTGGTGAAAGTCCTCACTACAGTTTCTACAAATGAAACTCAACAAAAATAACACAACAATGCTAATGAAAAATAACTACAAAAACTTTCATTTGTAACTGTGATAGTCTTCAAAAAAATATGACCTACATCAGAGAACATGGCAGCAAGAACATGCAAAAGAAGTAGAGCTACGTTGACCTTCTGGCTTTATGCTAATAGCGTATTGACACCAACCTCTCTTTAACCCTACCTTGGTAGCTTTTCGAATGTGAAATTCAATGGAAGGTACCCATTGTTGTCTCTCAATACCTCTAGATCTCCTTTGTCTCCCTTGATAATTGTCAAAAAGTGTATGACAAAGTTTAAAACGAAATTCTAACAAATTCAACGAAACGAGCCCCTTGCTTTTGTATGTAGTTTTGTTAATAATGTAAGCATTATGGATTGTCAAATCAAAGAAACAGTAAAACAGACGAATCCCTGATCTTTTGGACTTTCTATCATAGCCATATGTTTTCCGAAGCTGATCAGTGATGTCAACTCCACCCATGAATTCGTTATAAGCAGGAAGGAGAGGTGGGACACTCTGATAATGAAATGCGCCATTTCATTGCCTATGTGGCACTTGTTGAGGTATTGCTTCCGGTAAAACATTGCTAATGAAGCAAACTAATTTACAATCATTGAAAACATATCACACAATATCACCTACTGTTGTTGCTACATACTCACCCTTGGAAGGTGTGACATTATCTAGCTCATTTGGAAAACCACTTGCATCTGATTTTATTGTTCTTACTGTGTAAATTTGTTGTTGGGCATGTGCCTGAGTAATTTTGCTGCTAGTATAAAAGTTGAACTATATGATTCAGTCCAGTGAAACTAACTAAAAGATCACGAACAACTCTCTTTACTAGTGCATGTTCAGACACTTTCTTACCTGTTACTGGATTGCCTGACATACCATCATACACCTGAAAAGTACACAAGTAACCTGTTTTAGCACTTGAGCAAGACCAA